TTTCCCTATGGAAGAGTGAGAATGTCATCCTTTATACATTATCAGTATGTACAGTGCCTACAAGGAAGTGTTAGAAATTGAAACTGACACCAGTTTTGAGACAGAATTCCTGCTCTCTTTGCACAAATGCGAAGAAGTGAATACTAACTACTACATTGTGAGTGACCAGAGTTTGGTATACATTTTCTGTAAATGAACAAAATATTTTTTTGGATTATGGACCATGTGGTCTCTGCAGCTATTCAGCTCTGCTGTTGTATGAAGGCAGCCATAGATGATATGTAAAATTATTGGTCACAGCTATATTCCAGTAAAGCTTTATTTACAAAGATATAGGTTGGGCCTTAGTTTGCTAACTCTTATTACAGATTGATCAAAGTCGTCACTTGGTATTTTTTAAATTAGCTATTAATTTTTAGAAAATTAATTTGGGAATAAAGTAAAATTGCTAATTGTTAAGTTGTTGGGCAGTTAAAAAACAGTCATCTACCAATATATATTCAAAAATAATAAGCAGGTTTTTCTGTGGTTAAATGAATATGCTTTCTTTTAAACAGGGTCTGGAAAAACTGCAGCATTTCTCTTGCCCATCTTGAGTCAGATTTATTCTGATGGTCCAGGCGAGGCTTTGAGGGCCATGAAGGTAAATATTTCTATATAAAATGGGAAGCAATCGTAGAACCTTTTAGGTAGCTGTTGAGAAAGCTTTCTAAATGACAGGAAGACTTGTGTTCTAACCTATGTAATTAGAAAGTTTTTACGTATAATCAGTGAATTACAGAAGGGAATTATGTGTAATGAACCTTTAAAAGATGTTAAGAGTTTAACTTACAAATTATTTCTTAGGAAAATGGAAGGTATGGGCGCCGCAAACAATACCCAATCTCCTTGGTGTTAGCACCAACTAGAGAATTGGCTGTACAGATCTATGAGGAAGCCAGGAAAGTAAGTATGCATTTCAGAGATTATCGGCTTTCTCATTGATTCTGATGCAGTGTTTTATGACCACGTAAAAATCTTGGCCTTAAAGTTGATAAAATTTCTTTGCTTACAGTTTTCATACCGATCTAGAGTTCGTCCTTGCGTGGTTTATGGTGGTGCTGATATTGGTCAGCAAATTCGAGACTTAGAACGTGGATGTCACTTGTTAGTAGCGACTCCAGGACGTCTAGTGGATATGATGGAAAGAGGGAAGATTGGATTAGACTTCTGCAAGTATGTTAATTTTTAAACGTGTGGAATGCATTAATTTAAAAAATTACTGGCCATTAGTTTTCTGGAACTTGTCCATAAATTTTAAGATGGAGAAGAGATTTATTTTAGTCTTCCAGCTTTTCCAAAAAGTTTGCTCATTGTAATTTTAATGTTGAAAAATCAGTGACATTTTAGTAGTCTGAGAATGACCAGACTTTGGGACCAGAGTCAAAGTATAAGAGCTAATTTGGGTGTGTACTATCTTGGACCATTTATTTAGTGGCAAAGATCCTGTGCTGTGTCTCACGTACATGGGTCAAATTGTGTGGTGTGAGGAATTTAACTACCTGAATGAGTAATTAATTGTGCTTATAGAAACAGCTATATTTAAACTATCTTTTCTCCTCAAATTCTAAACTGGATTTTTTTTTTTTCCATGGCAGATACTTGGTGTTAGATGAAGCTGATCGGATGTTGGATATGGGGTTTGAGCCTCAAATACGTAGAATCGTTGAACAAGATACTATGCCACCAAAGGGAGTTCGCCACACTATGATGTTTAGTGCTACTTTCCCGAAGGAAATACAGGTATTGTTTGATGCTCCAAATCTTATTTACTTAGGAATTTGTTCATCTCAATAGATAATAAAATATATATTTTTTTCTTTCAGATGCTTGCTCGTGATTTCTTGGATGAGTATATCTTTCTGGCCGTAGGAAGAGTTGGCTCTACCTCTGAGAACATCACACAGAAAGTAGTCTGGGTGGAAGAGTCAGACAAACGGTCATTTCTGCTTGACCTTCTAAATGCAACAGGTATAATTTTAGCATCACTCTGGTGGCTTAGGTAGTAAATCCATTTGGATCACATTTATTGCTTTTCCTCCTCATCCAAAACATTCTGTTGAAAACGGTCTATTTTAATTGCCTCTATTTGCAAGTTTACTAAGTGCAAAGAGGACCAAGCCACTCTTAGTGACAGAAACCTTGTAATATTTTACTTTAGGCAAAGATTCACTGACCTTAGTGTTTGTGGAGACCAAAAAGGGTGCAGATTCTCTAGAGGATTTCTTGTACCATGAAGGGTATGCCTGTACGAGTATCCATGGAGACCGATCTCAGAGAGATAGAGAAGAGGCTCTTCACCAGTTCCGCTCAGGAAAAAGCCCGATTCTAGTGGCTACAGCAGTATGTATAATATAATTTTATTTTCAAGGTCGCCATGTTCAACTGTTTGCTTTCTTTTAAATGGACCATATGTAACAAGTTATTTTCTAGGTAGCAGCAAGAGGACTGGACATTTCAAATGTGAAACATGTTATCAATTTTGATTTGCCCAGTGATATTGAAGAATATGTACATCGCATTGGCCGTACAGGACGTGTAGGAAACCTTGGTAAGTGTGGTTACTTGATGGTGTGGTGGTTTCTGGTTTTCAGTGTGATTCTTGCAGCAAAGAACTTTCAGGATCTTATTAGAAGAACTCCTATTTTCAAGGAATGCGATTAAGATATATCTTAGCAGAAGTGGCAGGAAAAGTCAGGGTTCAAAGAACTTTGAGTTGGTTAAATAGCAAATAGTTACGTCTTTTTTTAGTATTCTACTTAATACTCTAGTATGAAAGTAATACTGTGCTACTTTATGGAAGACCTTAATTTATGTACTTTTTGGAACTGTTTTAGGCCTTGCCACCTCATTCTTTAATGAGAGGAATGTAAATATTACCAAGGATTTGTTGGATCTTCTTGTTGAAGCTAAACAAGAAGTGCCATCTTGGTTAGAAAACATGGCTTATGAACATCACTACAAGGGTAGCAGTCGTGGACGATCCAAAAGGTGAGTTACAGATGGTGTATAATGATGGGGATGGGTGCTATGTCCAAGGTTAACTTTTCAAGGTTATTTAAGTGACATTAAGTTGATAGCCTTTTTTCATAGCTAAGGCCTTTTAAACATCACTATTAGGGAAGATAGGGCTGGATGGAATTGTTTGAATTGGAAAATCAGAAATTGGTCATTGGGAAGTTTTAACAAGATTTGGGGTATCTGGTCGAAATTTTATCTTTATGTGAACTAACACATTGTGTCCTTGTAGTAGTAGATTCAGTGGAGGATTTGGTGCCAGAGACTATCGACAAAGTAGTGGTGCCAGCAGTTCCAGCTTCAGCAGCAGCCGCGCCAGCAGCAGCCGCAGTGGTGGAGGCGGCCATGGCAGCAGCAGAGGGTTTGGTGGAGGTAATGTTTATTTTTAACCTCATATCTTTGGGAAGGGTTTTTTTTTCTTTTCCATCTTTTTCAAAGCATAATTAATATTGGGAAGTTCGGCCCTGTAGATTGATTTCTATAATTTTACATCAAAATACATAAGGGAAAGATTGTATTAAACAGTGGATGACTTAATTAATTTTTTCTCTTTTTTAAATCTTTCATTAGGTGGCTATGGAGGCTTTTACAACAGTGATGGATATGGAGGAAATTATAACTCCCAGGGGGTTGACTGGTGGGGTAACTGAACCTGCTTTGCAGTAGGTCACCCTGCCAAACAAGCTAATATGGAAACCACATGTAACTTAGCCAGACTATACCTTGTGTAGCTTCAAGAACTCGCAGTACATTACCAGCTGTGATTCTCCACTGAAATTTTTTTTTTAAGGGAGCTCAAGGTCACAGGAAGAGTTGAAAGGAACAATCAGCAGCCCTGTTCAGAAGGTGGTTTGAAGACTTCATTGCTGTAGTTTGGATTAACTCCCCTCCCAACCCCCATCCCAAACTGCATTTATAATTTTGTGACTGAGGATCATTTGTTTGTTAATGTACTGTGCCTTTAACTTTAGACAACTTTTTATTTTGATGTCCTGTTGGCTCAGTAATGCTCAAGATACCAATTGTTTTGACAAAATAAATTTACTGAACTTGGGCTAAAATCAAACCTTGGCACACAGGTGTGATACAACTTAACAGGAATCATCGATTCATCCATAAATATTATAAGGAAAAAACTTATGCGGTAGCCTGCATTAGGGCTTTTTGATACTTGCAGATTGGGGGAAAACAACAAACGTCTTGAAGCATATTAATGGAATTAGTTTCTAATGTGGCAAACTGTATTAAGTTAAAGTTCTGATTTGCTCACTCTATCCTGGATAGGTATTTAGAACCTGATAGTCTTTAAACAAGCCATTCCAGTCATGATGAGGTGATGTATGAATACATGCATACATTCAAAGCACTGTTTTCAAAGTTAATGCAAGTAAATACAGCAATTCCTCTTTCAATGTTTAGGCAGATCATTAATTATGAGCTAGCCAGATGTGGGCATACTATTACAGGGAAAGTATAAAGGTCTGATAACTTGATAGGTTTTTAGGAGAATTCATCTACTTAGACTTTTTAAATGCCTGCCATAAATGAAATTGAAATGGTAGAATGGCTGACCACAGCAATGACCAGCCCTCATTTAGGGCCCTGGATGATTTTTGGTCTAATAACGCATGCTAGTGTTGATGTTTTTTGGTCAAGAGGGTATGAACAGGAAGAATTAATGCAGCAGGCTTTATTTTAAATGCCGATTTACATTACTCTGTTCAAGCTGCGTTGAGATGTTAAACTGGCTTACTATAGACTTTGTAAAAATGGCTCCAGAAGAGTAACAAACTGAAATCTTTGAGATCACACAGGTTGGAAATATGTACATAACTGCACAAGGTGTCAATTCTGCTATACAGTGCAGTTTTAGTCAGTTTTAGTTGCATAGGTTTCCATTGTATTTATAGTCTGTTTATGCTAAATCTGGCCAAAGATGAGCATTGTCCACCACTAAAATGCCTCTGCCACTTTGAATTCTGTGCTAATTTTGTGGCCAGAATGCGGTGATCAAAACGCTCAATCTTTTTACAGTGGCATAGGAAGATGGCAAAAATTTCCTAAAGTGCAATAGATTTTCAAGTGTATTGTGCCTTGTTCTAAAACTTTTATTAAGTAGGTGCACTTGACAGTATTGAGGTCATTTGTTATGGTGCTATTTCAATTAGTCTAGGTTTAGGCCCTTGTACATTTTGCCCATAACTTTTTACAAAGTACTTCTTTTATTGCACATTCAGAGAATTTTATATATATGTCTTGTGTGCGTGTCCTTAAACTTCCAATCTTATTTTGTCTCTTGGAGATTGTTGAACGCAGCTTGTCTAGGAAGGGGATGGGACTAGATTCTAAAATTTATTTGGGACCATGGGAATGATAGTTGGGAAGAAAACTTTGCACACGACAGATTTCTAGATACTTTTTGCTGCTAGTTTTATGTAATATTTATTGAACATTTTGACAAATATTTATTTTTGTAAGCCTAAAAGTGATTCTTTGAAAGTTTAAAGAAACTTGACCAAAAGACAGTACAAAAACACTGGCACTTGAATGTTGAATGTCACCGTATGCGTGAAATTATATATTTCGGGGTAGTGTGAGCTTTTAATGTTAAGTCATAATAAACTCTTAAGTCAAATTAAGCAGACCCGGCATTGGCAGTGTAGCCATAACTTTCTGATGTTAGTAAAAATAAAATTGGCGACTTTAAATTAAATCATGCCAAGGTTTTGATACACTTGTCTTAAGATATTAATGAAACACTTCAAAACACTGATACGAAGTGTCCAGATTCTCAGATATTGTGTGAGTTTTGTTTCGTTGTGTGTAATTTTTTTTTTTTTCAGTGAATGTCTGGCTCATTGCAATCCTCAAACATGTGGTTATCTTTGTTGTATTGGCATAATCAGTGACTTGTACATTCAGCGATAGCATTTGAGCAAGTTCTATCAGCAAGCAATATTTTCAGTTAATAAATAAGGTTTCAAAAATCACATAAGAGTGGATTTAAACTTGCTGAATGTGAAGATTGAACCTCAAGTCACTGTAGCTTTAGTAATTGCTTATTGTATTAGTTTAGATGCTAGCACTGCATGTGCTGTGCATATTCTGATTTTATTAAAATAAAAAGTTGAACTGCACAGTCTCTTTTGTTGTTGTCAATTGTGGTTTATTATTAGAGGTGAAAATAAAGTTGTGCTCTTGCCTGAAGAGTTGTAAGATGTAATTTTTTGGGTTGCCATCCAGCGCTGATTTTGAAGTGCCCCTTGGATACAGAATTACTCTGGTGCACTTTTAATAAATGATGAAGATGGTGTGTGTTTGGAGTACAGTGAAAAAAGGATTTTTGTAATAGATGGAAATCTAAAAGGTCCTCACTGATTATAGTTTGAAATTTATGGGGGGGGATATCTTCTTGGAAGCACTTGATACACAAAGGATGGTTGAACAGTGGAAAAATGAATTGGGTAAAAAATCAAATGTATTCGCAATCTAACAAGTGTGGTAAGTACTTTGATAAGAATTATTTGGGGTCAGGTTGATAGAGATGGCCTGGGTGTGCCCTCTACCTTTAGTTTTATTTGCTGACATCCAGTTTTACCACACATTGCTGCAGGCAGCTGCTGCCAATTAACAGGAGATGATAGGAGAGCCATAACTGGATGACTTCTAACAAGTTGTGATGAACCAAATGAAACGATTCTGATTTTGGGGGTCAAAAATGGTCAAATGTTGGCAATTTGGTATGGCTTCACCTAGTGAAAGTACATGTATTCACCTTTCGTTGCAGTTTTGAGTTCTAGTTTTACAGTATGATTAAGAACTTGTTTGCATTGTAAAGATATATTTGGTTCTGGATAGTTAGATTTTCAGACCTTATCAATTGTAATTTCAGAGCAGCAAGCCTAAATTTGTAGGGCAGAATTTTGGAGCATAATATATGCTATACTGATTTTGGAGATAGGAAGGTAGTTGAGTCAACTTAATCGAAAGCATGGAAAGAGGTTGCCTTAGAATGGCTAGATGGAAAAGTCAAATGGCTGAAGGTGGTTCAAATAGAGTGGACTCCAAGTGGTTCACTGGCCCTTTTATGTAAATTATGAGGAGTGAACACAAGATAACTGCTCTGGAAGAACTGCCTAAATTCTTGAGATTATTTCTACTCTAGCAGACGATTACCCAAGTTGATTAACATTTCTGTAGATATTTACATAAATTCATAATTTCCCCACTTTTAAAGTGTTCCTGGGTTCGTTCCTCCCATCTCTTAGATGAATTTCAACATCAGATAATATTTTTCCAAAAACGATTTACAGGGTTCATGTTTGAAAATATCCAATGTCTTGATGCTTAGACATAAACTTGTTCCGATGGCTTTTTTTTCTTGCCCTTTTTAAGTGACCTGGTTGAAGTTGTCACAGATGCATTCTGAAGTTCAGTAATTTAAGATATCTGGGTGTTGACTGCTCTTAATCGCCCTCTCCACCAGATTGCAGAGATTTCATCCACTGCGGTTACGGGTTCAGTTTGGGATTTTTTTTTTTTCCCTCAACATTTCTGTTCTCATTGAACACGATTCTGGGTATGTTTTAAACTGCTTTGCTGCTTGTTCTCATGTCAGTTTATAGTCTACTTTTCAGCATGTTTAGTCTGATTCTAATGCGGCTCTCCTCTAGTGACTTTTCCATTTCTTGCCCCACCTGAGAGAGGGTGACTTTATGAGCCGTACGGTTCAACCTCCAGCCAGAGCAGAAACACCTGACAAGTGATCATTAAGCCTCGGATTAAACCTCCAAAGCTAGGGAGCTAACTACTCTCCTGGAAGGATGTATAGCACAGTGGTCAAGAAGGGATTGAATCTCTGCCTTACTATGAACTGATGATGTGAGCTTGGCTAGTTTCTTAACTTTTCTGGACTTAAGTTTCCTTATTTACAAAATAAGAATAATGGTATCTATACCACAGGGTTATTGCAGAGATTAAATCAGGTATTATATTTTAAGAGTTTGGCACAGTGCCATGAAACTCTCAGTGAATGAATATTGTTATTAGTTAGACAACCCATTCCGTTGTAGGGTAGCTCTGTCATTAAGCTATTTAAAAAAATAAATCAAAATCTGTCGCTGTATAACTTTCACCCATTTGTGGTTGTTCTCCCAACTGGAAAAACCTAGAAGAATTTGATGGAAAACAAGGCTGCTCCTTCCTCCTTTTGGCAGCTATTCAGTGCCTGAAGCACTATGCATTCTCTGTGTTGTAGACTTTGGCATGTAATTCTTCCCCTCTCCCATCCCACTGAGTTGTTAACAGTGTAGACTTTGCTGGCAATATAAAATGAATCCTACTGCTACCACTTCTTCCTGAAAAGGAATCAAAAAGGGAGTCATAAAATAAAACTCAACAAAGAAAATATAAATTGTGGAATTGAGAACTTAGTTGTCTTTGATGAGAGTTTATAGATGTTGAACTTTATGGACATAAACCTTACATAGAAGCCTTGTTCACATATGCGGAGCACAGGCTCTGGACGCGCGGGCTTAGCGGCCATGGCTCACGGGCCCAGCCGCTCCGCGGCATGTGGGATCTTCCCTGACCGGGGCACGAACTCGTGTCGCCTGCATCGGCAGGTGGACTCTGAACCACTGCGCCACCAGGGAAGCCCTCCATTTCTTTTTGATTCTTTTCTATCTCCATTTTCCCTATCTACATCTGACTGGGTTGTGTTTAGAGTAATTCCAGAAAAAAGATTATTTTGACACAGCACTATGTTTAGTTGTATTGTGGAAGAAAATTTCATGACATGGAAACGTTTATTATGGGAGGAAACAACAGGTCAACACATTTAAGAGGAGGTGTCTCAAAACAAGTTAAACATGGAGGTTTTGTTTTTTTTTTTAAACAGTTATATATGATTCAGCAGTTCTACTCCTAGGAGAATTCTACCCAGGAGAAAGAATCCACAATTTAGGCTTGCATGTGAATGTTCATAGCATTATTCACAACCCAAAAGTGGAAACAACCCAAATGCTAATGAACTGGTGGATGGATGAAGAGTAA